TGTAGGACAGCTGTTGTTTTATCAAGGTACTTTTAGTATATGACAGGTTTTTTATCCTGATCTCGTTTCACAACATTTGTAGGACAGCTGTTGTTTTATCAAGGTACTTTTAGTATATGACAGGTTTTTTATCCTGATCTCGTTTCACAACATTTGTAAGATGGCTGTTGTTTTATCTATGTGCTTTTAGTATATGACAGGTTTTTTATCCTGATCTCGTTTCACAACATTTGTAAGACAACTGTTGTTTTATCTAGGTGCTTTTAGTATATGACAGGTTTTTTATCCTGATCTCATTTCACAATATTTGTAGGACAGCTGTTGTTTTATCTAGGTGCTTTTAGTATGACAGATTTTTATCCTGATCTCGTTTCACAACATTTGTAAGACAACTGTTGTTTTATCTAGGTGCTTTTAGTATATGACAGATTTTTTTTATCCTGATCTCATTTCACAATATTTGTAGGTATTTAAATATTGCACAATTTTAATTCTTCAGAATTTTCCTTTTGAAACATCACTAACTTCTTAACCTGATGAATTCTGTACTTTTGTAGCATAATATCTTGTGGAATAATCATTGACTTTAGACTGTTTTTAATAGATCCTGTTAAAAGATTACAAACTTCTTAACCCATTTCAGAATTAGATACATAAATATTGATAACAGTGAGGGTACCCATCTGATGAATCTAATCTTTACGTGTTTGTATTATGAGATTGCACACTTCTCATTAGACCAGTATATGAAATTTGCTACATTATTTACTAGGGTAATTCATATGTTGGTGACTTGCTTTGATTAGACTTTGCTGAGAATAACTTATTTTCTGTTCCAAGTTTACTGAATACTAACACTGCTCTCAATGTTCTCATCTTTCAAGATTTTCTACTGTTTTGATACTATAATTTTTCAGGATCACAAAATTCTTATCCAGTTTTAATACTCTAGTGTTTAAGGATTATCTTATTTTGAAGAATCACAAAATTGTTATCTAGTTATAATACTATAGTCCTTCAAGATAATCTTATTTTAAAGGATCACTAACATCATATCCTGTTTTGCAGTATATTTTATTGATACTTTCAGCTCCCAGGATTATCTCCTATGGAAGGTTCCCTCTACACCTTTTCCATTAGGGAAATGTTTCGTCCTTGTTCCAACAAACAGATTCGTATTGACTTTGAAGAAGGAAAGTAAGTACATAATTTTTTTAATTCTTAATTATGAACCTAAAATTCTGTGACATATTTTTAAGGATTGAATATTGAAACATATTGTTATTTGTGTACTTCTGCTTGTGTAATCCTTTTTATTGTATTTTTGACTTCAACAACTGGATGATTATTTCTGACAATCTTTGGGTTAATTGAGAAATTTTGTTGCATGAACTTTTGTTCAAATATTTTGTTACCTTAAGGATACGTAGGTTGTAAATAGACAATTTCTCTAGTTAAAATGCTCTAGTACATTAAATTTATTGTCATGAAAGTACAGTTTATTCCACAAAAGCTAAAATATTCTAATACTTTCTATTTCAAATCATCAATACATACTTGTATTAACTCTCTCAACACAGGTTTGGTTGATTTGACCGACCATGTGACCTCTTTGTACTCGATTAAAGCCTTTATAGATTTGATACTTCAAACTTTTAATATAGAATGTATATCTTCACAAAATTTGGCAGTCTTTAAGTAAACATTATAATGCTTTCACATATAAAAAGTAATATTTTTTAGTGAAGTATTTTAAATAAATTAAAAAAAGATTTGTCCATGACTATATCAAGTATTTGTTTTGAATATTTCGTGTGCAAAGTGATTTTCATATAGTATTAAAAATACTTTTCTTCATCTTAAAAATCTCAAATTTCATTTGTATAATCTCTAAAACCTTCCAAATGCATTTCATATATTTGTTTTCAGTAAAACTCTATATTCTATCTGTTATTTTCTTTACTCTAACTTGATACAGGTTTGGTCAGTTTGACCAACTTCATTACCACCAAAAAAAAGATCTAAGTAAATCTAAATTACCTTTTTTTCTTTTGGGAATGACTTCAAATTGTAACATAAAACTACGTTCGTTTATCCTAAGTAGCTTTAAACTCATAACAGTATGTATTTATAATTAAATGTTATTGTTCTATTGCCATTTGAACCATGTCTAACTACTATCTGTGCCATTATAAGTTGTAAATCACTTGGGGAACATGCAGCTCATGTTATGCTATCAAATTACTTTACCCATGAGCTGCTCGTGTGTATGTCTCGTGAAACATTTTTATCATATTATTACTTATTTTACCTAATATAACCTTAACTAATCTAAATAGGTCACTATTTTTACATTTTAGTTACTATTATAATAATAAATAAAGTATAAACATTAAAAACAAGAAATAAAGAACTTACCCAAGTATTTTTTTTTTTTTTTTTGCTGTCAACTGTAGAAGACACTTAACCCTACTTTTTATTTATTTAGACTAATGGTAGTAGTGCATTAAATAATTTTTATTTAATTAAATAAAACACCAAAGAATGTAGAATAATAACATGCAAAAAAGCAGACAATATCTTCTAACAATCACAATTTTTTTGGCTTTTTATCTATGCGACAAGAGCCATTACAAATTCATCCAGGCTAGCTATTATCTTTTTCGTGGTATATACACTTATACTGAAAGTGAATTATCTGTTCAGAATACAATGTAATATAATACATCATTTGATAGATGAAAACCTTGGCTTTCTATTGTTATCAATTATATATGATTAAATGTAAGAGAAAACTTAACATATCCTGAAAGAGAGGATATGACAGGTGGGTGTGGCAAGAGGGTCTGATTTTTTATTTGATAGCTCTGTAACCAAACAAAAGTGAAAGCTATAAAAATTATGGTTTGTCTGAGCAATGGTGATTTTATAGTGAGTAATTTACACTTAATTTTGTAATTATTGGAAGAGTTGGTGGATAAAACAGAGAAAAGGATATACCTAGAGAAAATGTGTCATGTGTGTCACACTACGGGAAGTTCTGGATTTTTTGGATGTGTTCTTTTAAATTAATTTCACATCTTGTTTTAAATTAATGCTCTTGTAAATTAATTACACATCTGTATTCAGTGTGGATCACAATTAATGAGATGGGTTCTAAAATCAAGTAAACTTGTATACATATAAGTACAGTTCTGTAGAATCTGAGATACTAGAGTTTGTATTCAGCTCTGACGAGCTGTTCTCCAGCTGTAGGGAATTAGCTGTTGTGATTCTTTTCTGATTCTACAGAGTTGAATTCATTTGGTGGGAAACATAGATTTACAGATACTGTAATAGTTTTCAAATGAGACCCAAAACTCAAATGCTTTCGAATAGTTCACTTTATATATATATATATATAATGAGTGTAATGAAATATATAAGTTTAGATATCAGTGTTATGTAAACCAGATGTTCAGTATTAGTTAGCCTTGCGAACTAGCCAATCATAAACTAGAGTTGTTAATGTCAGGTTTAGTTTGTGCCAGAGGTGTGTGATAATAGTTATAACATATTTTAACCAATGTCAAACATGGGGGGATACTTTTCATGTGGTGATCAACGTAAGCAGATACATTTTCAGTAGGCATACTGCAATTAAAAATAATAGGAGGGCCAGGATCGTTGGGTTTGTGTACATTAGATATGACATTTTCTGAACATGATCTTTGACATTAACAGCAACAGAAAACTTCCTCCAGACACTATTCTCTGTACTATAGCTGTTTCTTCTCTATTCACAAACATTCCCCACGATGAAGGCCTAAAATCCCTAGAATCTTCTATGCTAAAACTAGACAAACCCAACACTCAAATTATTGCAGAGTTAGCTGAACTAGTACTTACACTTAATGGTTTTGAATTTAATAATGAATTCTATATTCAAATAAAAGTCACAGCAATGGGCACCAAGATGACACCAAGCTATGCCAATATTTTTATGGGAGACTTAGAGATGAGACTGTTGGAAAGTTGCACAGACAAACCAACATTTTGTAGATGCTACATTGAGGACAAACAAAATATAAAGTTTTACTGGAAACAAAGTGTTTGAAATGTATTTAGGAGTTTTTAGAGATTAAACAAATGAAATTTGAGATTTTTGAGATGAAGAAAAGTATTTTTAATCTTAACATGAAAATCACTTTGCACACGGACTAGTGAAAAAATATTCGATATATTCACGGTCAAATCTTTTTGTTTTTTAGTTTATTTAAAATACTTCATTAAAAAATACAACTTTTTGTATCTGAAAGACTTGTAATGTTTACTGAAAGACTGCCAAATTTGTGAAAATATACATACTATATTAAAAGTTAGCAGTATCCAATCTATAAAGACTTTAGACGAGTATGAAGAGGTCAAGTGGTTGGTCAGATTAATCAAGCCCGTGTTGAGAGAGTTAAATTTACTCTAGATTACTTCACTACCTACATAAGTTTCTTAGATGTAAACCTAACATTAAAAGATGGTGTTCTACTTACTGATTTATACCAAAAACCAACAGATAAACCACAATATTTACATGATCAAAGTTGTCACCAAATACAATATCACATTCAACCAAGCACTTAGATCGAAGAAGATATGCTCTGACAGTAAGAACTATAATTGCCACGTTAATTCTTTGAAACAGACTATGACTTAAAGAGATTATAAGCAAAACATTATCACCCAACAACTTGACAAAACTAACAGTATACTACGTGAATCTACCTTGAAACAAATACCTAAAACCAATTCTTCTCATGTTCCACTGGTTATTACCTATCACCTAAAACTAAAAAACCTACCCTGGGTACTAAAAAACAAAAAACGTTTACCTCGTTGAACTTAATGATCGACTAAAATCCATTTTTACAGAAGTTCCTGTCGTTTCTTACAGGCAAAATAAAATTTTGGATTCACACTTAGTTCATGCTAAAGTCAACTTTCAAGTTGACACCAGGTGGAAGTCATCCTTGTAATAGCAAGCGATGCCAAACCTGTAAGTTCATAGAGGAAACGGACAAATTTTCCGATAAAGACAACGAAAAGCAGTACAAAATCACTAAATCCGTAACCTGCTCGACAAAAAACGTTATTTACTTAATCTAATACCAAAAATGCAACCTTCAATATGTAGGTCAAACCAAAACAAGTATACTGGAACATGTTTAATTACCACAAATCAACAATCAAAACAAACAAAGAACTCCCAGTTGCAAGACACTTTACCATACCTGGACACTTTCTTTAAAGATATTAAACTGACTGTTATAGAAAGAAATTTTACATTTAACACAATCGGAAATTAAAGAAGCTTAATGGATAGCACAAATGAATACTGTAAATTAAGTTGATTTATTAACTAACTTCACAGCTTCAGTGTCTAGTGTTCATTAAGTTAAGATGTTTTGGCATGTAATAAACTATATGTGTGTTAAATTAAGTTGATTTATTAACTAACTTCACAGCTTCAGTGTCTAGTGTTCATTAAGTTAAGACGTTTTGACATGTAATAAACTATGTATGTGTTAAATTAAGTTGATTTATTAACTAACTTCATAGCTTCAGTGTCTAGTGTTCATTAAGTTAAGATGTTTAGGCATGTAATGAACTATGTGTTAAATTAAGTTGATTTATTAACTAACTTCATAGCTTCAGTGTCTAGTGTTCATTAAGTTAAGTTGTTTTGACATGTATTAAACTATATATGTGTTAAATTAAGTTGATTTATTAACTAACTTCATAGCTTCAGTGTCTACTGTTCATTAAGTTAAGATGTTTTGCCATGTAATAAACTATATATGTGTTAAATTAAGTTGATTTATTAACTAACTTCATTGTCTACTGTTCATTAAGTTAAGATGTTTTGGCATGTAATAAACTATATGTGTTAAATTAAGTTGATGTATAAACTAACTTTATAGCTTCAGTGTCTACTGTTCATTAAGTTAAGATGTTTTGACATGTAATAAACTATATGTGTTAAATTAAGTTGATGTATAAACTAACTTTATAGCTTCAGTGTCTACTGTTCATTAAGTTAAGATGTTTTGGCATGTAATAAACTATATGTGTGTTAAATTAAGTTGATTTATTAACTAACTTCATAGCTTCAGTGTCTAGTGTTCATTAAGTTAAGATGTTTTGGCATGTAATAAACTATATGTGTGTTAAATTAAGTTGATTTATTAACTAACTTCACAGCTTCAGTGTCTACTGTTCATTAAGTTAAGTTGTTTTGACATGTAATAAACTATATATGTGTTAAATTAAGTTGATTTATTAACTAACTTCATAGCTTCAGTGTCTAGTGTTCATTAAGTTAAGATGTTTTGACATGTAATAAACTATATATGTGTTAAATTAAGTTGATTTATTAACTAACTTCACAGCTTCAGTGTCTACTCTTTAGTAAGTTAAGACGTTTTGGTGTGGATTGTAATAAACTGTGTATGAAAACGTGATTTTTGAAATGTAATAATGATATCTAAGTATATATTTTTAGTGTAAACTTTTAAGTGTTAAAATTTTATTGCTTAACTTGTTTTTTCAAGGTGATGTATATTAGTTCTTTTAAGTGTTTCTGATAACTGTTATACATTTTGGTTGTAGTAATGTTAATTATTTTTAAAATATACTTTTATTTTTTTCCTGATATTATAAACTTTACCATTAAAAGTTGTTGTACAATTGGTTAAAGTTTGAAAGATTATAGCTTTAAATTTGATTGTGTGTGTGTATATAAAAAAATTTTAAATTTTGCTGTGTATGTATGCATTTATAGAACAATCTGTTTAACTTTTTATTATGAAAATAATTGTTTATAAACTTTGTTCAGTCTAACAATATGATTACTTTTCTGTTAAGACAACTTCTTTAAGTGATTTATGTCTCTTGGATTTTTTGATTTTTAATATCTCAGTAATGAAGACATCTTGGTTAGAAAGTGATACTGGAGTCAGTTGGTAGAAATAATGAACAGTTATGTAATGTAAATCACATGATTCCAAGATGTAGCTTAATAAACAGTGACACTAAGTAATGTCTCTATGTGATATTTTCATAAAAGTATTTATGATAGAAGAATGTCAGTGACGATAAATAATAATTGATATCATGATGTATGAAGAAGATGTACGAGTTATTTAATGAAGTTTATATTTGAAGAAATACATAGATTTTAAAAGCTGAGTGAAATGGATTCACATCTGGTGATTTTTTTTCAGAGTTGTGAATCAAGGGACGTAAATTTATTTATGTTATGTATGAAGAACTATAACACATTTTTATAATTACTTTTGGATAAATATTGAATAATTTTAGCTCTTTGAATAATTTAGTCTATGATGTGTGAGTTTTATATTGATTTATTCAACTATGATAACTTTGGTGTAACACAGGGCCTTAGTCCAATTCACCCGTGGACAACAAATAGAGAACTCGGTTTATGAGCCAATGGGTATCCTCATGGCTGTATACCTGGCTGTTAAAATGAGGTTTGTACGTTCAGTATTAAATAAAAAAATCATTCAGCTATTAAGATGTATCTAATTGCATGTATAAATGCTGCTACTTGTATGAGCTTGGCTCAGTACATTAAATTCTAATATAATGACACAACTTTGGATTTATTCAGATCCTTGTTTTAAATGTTACTTCTGAATTACATATGGATATGTGTTTGACTTATTACATTCAGTTTTTATATAATTACACAACTTTGGATTTATTCATATTTTTGTTTTAAATGTTACTTCTGAATTACATATGGGTGTGTGTGTTTGACTTATTACATTCAGTTTTTATATAATTACACAACTTTGGATTTATTCATATTTTTGTTTTAAATGTTACTTCTGAATTACATATGGATATGTGTTTGACTTATTACATTCAGTTTTTATATAATAACACAACTTTGGATTTATTCAGATCCTTGTTTTAAATGTTACTTCTGAATTACATATGGGTGTGTGTGTTTGACTTATTACATTCAGTTTTTATATAATTACACAACTTTGGATTTATTCATATTTTTGTTTTAAATGTTACTTCTGAATTACATATGGATGTGTGTTTGACTTATTACATTCAATTTTTGTATAATAACACAACTTGGGATTTATTCAGATCCTTGTTTTAACCCTTTTGAAAAGACAGCATTTTCAAATTCCTTTTTTATGTGCATTAATGAGTTACATTTAAAATTAATTAAAAACTTTACTATCCATGTGTGTGAACAAAATTAACATTATAATGTATGTTATAATATGATTTTTATGTCATCTAAGTTTTAATTTCTTTGTATGAAAAGAAATATAACAAACATGCTTAACCCTCTCCACACAGGTCACGGGTCAAGGCCGTGTCATCACGTTTTTTGACTCACATCCAAAATTTTATATAACTACTATTTTATAAATTGATGTCAATAAGTTTGGTATCAAATGGTAGACTATTATTCAAATTTAAGTATTATATATTATTTAATTTCTTAATATAAAAGTAAATATTAAAAAAACAAACCTAAACATCAGTTTTTGTGTGTCATGTGGTATGTTGAATGCAACAAGACTTCAAGATGATAAGTTGAGTCTTTAGTCTGCTCGAAATTTCATATTTTTTTTTTTTTTTTTTT